AAACTTATCACAGAGTAATTGACCTTTTTTGCAACTAAGATAGCAACACCGTAACGATGATTGACCTCGTTGTTACCTGAATAATACATGGTTCCATTATTTGTAATTTGTTTGCCTGAACCTGGCCACTGTACGTCACTTATACCTAAAACATCAATTTGGAGGTTTTCCATTTCAAGCAGTACGTTCGCTAATTTACCACTTGCATATAAACTTCTGACATTCCAGGTTGCTATTTTCAATGTCTTAAGTCCACAGGGATTTCTCTGGTTTACGACCTGGGAGGCCCTGTGATCTACAGTTATTCCTCCCCTGCCGGATCTTGGATTCCGTGCTCCATAATCAGTAAGTTTGTTTACTCTACTTGTCCTTTGCCATTCATGACTTTACTAGGGGTACTCTAAAAGTCTTTAATGCAGTGGTTCCTCGATGCCTTCTGCATCCTTACGCCGTTGACATATTTTTCGATTCATCCGCCTTTAGGACCAGTTTCTTAACCCTTGGACAAAAGAGTGCCCTTCCACTTATTAACTCATCCGCCCGCAGCCGTTGGTCATAAGTGGGGGATTGCTTATACCGGCAATCATTCGGTAAATTACCTGTTGGTCCACGGGAGGTATTTTATTTCCCTCCTACTCACCGGTAAACCGGGTCGGGCATTCCCCTATCCGCTACCTGGGGACGCGCTTTCTAGAGGTTACAGGTTCCTCCGAAAGTTCAGTTTTATAAAAATGTGTAATATCACATAAGCCTCATAAGTCAGTTGGTCGAGTTACCATGGAAACGAATTAACAGACACTATTTTGACAGATTAAAAATTATTAATCTGTCAGTGTAAATATAGTGGTAATTTAATTTTTATTTTTATAAACGAAAATAATCGTAGAAAAAGTATAGTACACAACTTAAGTTGTAAGCTTATTACATGCTTGTAAAATTACTGCGCTCGCCGCTACGCTGCTCGCGCGCAACTTTTTTACTCGCATGTAATAAGCTTCTTACATAACTCTCGTTATGTAATATACTATTACATTTATGTCAAAATTTGCTTTTATATAGGACAGTTTATTCTGAACAGAATTCTCACTAAAAATATTTTGACATTTCTGAACAGCAATACAACAAGAAGGATCAAAATTTGATATAACATTTTTGATAGCAATATAATTATATGTAAGAAATATGGTAAAATTCATCCCCCATCCAAAAGGATCCCCCATCTAGTCAACACTGGTTCCGGTGGCAAAGGGATATCGAAAAGTATCTCCCTATATACTTCTACTCGCAATGATGGTTTTAAAAATACTTTCTTTACATTGTTGATTAAAGCGTTTATATTTGGAAACTGGAGTCTAACTTTTTCTGTCACCCTATTTAAACTATGCGCTAAGCATGTTTAATGAATCAAATTCGGAAAAAAATCTTAAGACTAGTAACAGCTTTAACCCTGTAGGAAGCGGCATCGCTAACTAATAGCAAAATTTATTCGGAAGGTACTTGATTCGATAAAAAGAAATATTCATTAACAAATTGAACAATTGTTGCATAGTTGGTTTTTTCTAAACATTTTACACTAATTAAATACAACTTGTTGGAGTCAGCAGCTGAACTGTTTAAAATTCAAATAATTATATTCGCGATTTGCTGAACCTTGGCGGCAGTAGTCTCATCGACAGATATCCACAGATATTCATCTCTTACCCGGCTTTTAATATCTTCAATAATCTCTTTGTAAGATGCCCTCACATATTTCTTGAGAAGAGTTGAAGAACTTGGTACCTACACTGACTTACTTTCAACTTTACAATATGTTTTTAAAACATTTTGACACACCTTGCTATCCAATTTATACAGTGAGATATTACCTTAGATTAACGAAATCGGTTTCGTTAATCTAAGGATATTACAACTTACAAAAAATTGCATACATCTTTTGCAAACATTTCTTGCTTTGTCGATGTGTGACGATTTTAAATAATGTTGTTCTGCAAAAGCTGCTGGCGTGATTTCTTAAAGTCCTTAGATAGTTTATATTGGTGGAGAGCCGTTTTCAGGTGTTGGGAAAAATGGAATTTTGTTTACATGGAATCTGTAATAAAACGGTTTAGTAAATATGAGTCTAATGCAATAATATGGACTTAAAGTTTTTAAGATAACTTATATTTTTTTTCTCGAAACTAAAACTACCGCCAATAGTCAAACTGTTATATGTTTAGGATATGTATACCGATTTTCTTGCAAAAATGAGAGTTTATATTAAATTTTTGAATCGTTAAAATTTAAGTTGACTCACCTTTTTATCACAAATAGTATAGAAAACACTTTCATTGTCTATAATCTTTATTTCATTGTTTCCACCAACTCAATTCCGTAATAGACTTGATTTTTGTTTCGCTACTTTCGGCATATTTTCAAAAAAGAAATTATTTTTATTTTACATAAGCACAATATTCACAATCACAAGTTGCTTTGCCAGCTGGTAAAGAGAATTTTTGTTTAGAAGTTGTAATAAAATTATTTCGTAGTTACCTTACCTAGTACCTGCTATGAATAATTCCAAGAAACTATTATCTAAATAGGTATACAAAACCATTTTATGTATGTGATATTTTCAAATATATGTGGTAATATGCTCTTAATCAAATAAATATGAATAGCATATGCATTTATAAAGAAACCTACAAATCCAGTCTCTAGCTATAAGTTATGGTGCCTCTGTTCCTTTGATGGATATCTATTCTAGTTTATCTCTTGGGTGTTGATGAAGTATTAAAATTATTAAGTGTTGTAGAAACTATCCTTAACCACAACGCGTTGCTTAACAACTTCGTTTCAGCTTATAAGCTACTCCCAATATTGAAAGGAAATGAAATTTATGCAACTAACACAGTGCGAGAAAACAGGATTGAAAAGTCCACTGAAAATATCTAAAATTTCATCTAAAAAAGATAGAGCGTTGTTCATCTTCGTTTTTGACAAGGAAGCTGAAATGCCTGTGTTACATGGAATGACAACTTAGTCGTAACAGTAGTTTTCTATAACTGGCCGGTTTATCTCATAGACTTTACAAAGAGCTACGACTCAAGCAGTGCAAAGAAGTAAATATAATCACGCCTAATCTTTTCCAAGAATACAATGGATGTATGGGTGGCGTTGACTTACATGGCAACGGCATAGCACATTACAGGATGGCTATATGAGGAAAGAAATGGTGGCGGCATCTTTGTAAAAACGTAATTTATAGTTCCGTTGTAAATGCCTGAAAACTTTACAGATTGGCAAATAAAAGTTCTATTTTCCGTATCGATTTTCAGTCGTATATTGTTGTTTGTCTAATGAATCGAAATGTAAACAACAAGAAGAATCAGAACAGAATGATAGTAAAGAAAATGAATAGGCAATTGTACTATTGACAGTAAACATGGTGGAGCGTAGAAAAATAACTTACTAGATGAAATTCGTAAAGACCAGATAGGTCATTTAGTAATAAAGCATGCAGAAAATGCAAGAAGCTGGTGCAGGCAGTGTTCTAACGATATATCCATAACGATATATTTTATATCTCAGTTTTGCCAAAGGTTCGAAAATGAATCACTTTTTTTTGTGATACCTGTCAGTATCAAAGTGTAAGCAATTTTTTTACTAATATTTAACTTTATTTTTCCATAGTTAATAAAATATAAAGGGTGTTTTTTTAGAGGTATAGAACTTTGAATTGGAATAAAACAGAGACGATTTTTTAAATTGACATGAAATTGACTTTATTCAAAAGATAATCTTCTGGCATTATAATTTAAATATGATTTTTGGCATATGATCGCCACGACTGGTTGTAACGTAGTCAAATTTGGAAATAAAATTGTCAATGACTTTTTCCAATATACGGCAATATGGCCGTATATAAGCAATAACGCAGCGAATGTTATTCTCCAAGTCGTCAACCGTTTCAGGCTTATCGGCGCAGACCAGCGACTTCACATATCCCTACAGAAAATAGTCTGGCGGTGTTAAATCGCACGATCTTAGTGGCCAATTTACAAGTACAAAACGTGAAACTATGCGGCTACCAAAGATTTCTTTCAATAAATCAATTATGGCACGAGCTGTGTGACATGTTGCGCCGTCTTGTTAAAACTACAGCTACTGCACATCATGGTTGTTCAAACGGGGAATAAAAAATTCAGTAATCATGGCTCTATATCGGTCACCACTGACTGTAACTTTTTGACCAGCATTGTTTTTGAAGAAGTACGGACCAATGATTCCACCAGCCCACAAAGCACACCAAACAGTCATTTTTGCTGGATGTAATGGTGTCTCAACATACACTTGAGGAATATCTTCACTCCAAATATGGCAGTTTTGTTTGTTGACATAGCCAGTAAACCAAAGGTGAGCTTTATCGCTAAGCAAAATTTGCTTATGAAAATCAGGATCAACGGTAATCTTGTTTTGGGCCCATTAAGTACCAAACTGCTGTACACGATGGCATATTGACTAACTCGGGTCTTTCTTTATGCTACGCTTTACATCATCGACAACTTCTTCTGTACGTACTGCACTACGTCTCTGTGGATGTGTATTATCATTAGAGTAAACGTGGTGCGAAAACTTTCTATGGTTCATTGTATTAATTACTCTGATGGACAATTATGTTGACCGTAAAATGGACAAAATGCGAAACCGAACTAAACATAAATCACATGATAGCTGTCAAAGTGGCCGACATTTAAAAAGTGTTGCCAACTTACATTTCTATACCTCTAAAAAAAAACACCCTTTAATACACATTATTGCAGTATTTCTTTGCTTGGAGTTTAGTGGGTTAAAGAATATTATTCACACATAAACATTTTTCAAAATTAACTTTTTATTAATCTAACTAATCTCAATAAAACAATTATATTTATACAGACACTGAACTTACGTTAAATTCAATAAATGTAAAAACACAAAATAACAATAAAGTGCAAAAATATTTAACAACATAGAATCGCTATTTAGGATTTTTCAAGTAAAACTATTGTTACTGTCAAACTAGTGTTGCATGATATTTCCCCAGTTAATGAATTTTTCCTAGTATGGTTAAGTTTATTATTTTTCATTCGAGAAATAAATTCTTCTTTGTACTCTTCATATTCTTCATTGGTGACCATACTTAAAATTGGGTTCACGCTTAGGCAAAAATCTAAAACAAAAATAATTCATATACTTACTTGTAATTTACTACAGGCAGACACGGGACACTTGAGCAATATCTACTGTAATATTCTTAGTATGTCCAAATAATTTTTTTAACAATTTAATAGTTTTACAAGTTTAATAACAATTATATTTTAAATCACCCTGTATATTTTTAATGTGTAATTTTATTGTGTTTAATTGTTTCTTGGTTTTTTTTGTTTGCTCTGTTTTTATATTTAATTACTACTGACCTAGGTGCTTTTAACCAATACTGTCAGTACTGTGTTGAACAAATTATGTTCAACATATATATATATATATATATATATATATATATATATATATATATATATATATATGTATATATATATAAATATGTATATATATATATATATATATATATATATATATATATATATATATATATATATATATATATAATTTCTTATCGGCCCAGTCTCCTTCTTGAAGACCTCTATTTTCCATTTCTATATGAATATTGGATATCCATTTCTTTCTTGGCCTTCCCCTTTTATTTCTCTGTGTAGGTCTCCAGTTCCAAACCTTTCGTGGTATCCTTTCTTCGTTCATCCGTCTTAGGTGTCCATACCATTTTAATTGTTTTTCGGCTATCGTATCCATTATTGTGTTCTTTACTTTCATTCTCTCTCTTATGTTTTCATTTCTTATGTGGTCAAACAAAGTTAACCCGGAACATCTTTTCCAGTACATCATTTCCGTTGAGAGGAGTTTTTGTGACATATTCTTGTTCTTCTGACTCCCTGAAACCCACACTTCTGACCCGTACGTCAGCACCGGCTGAATCATAGCCTGATATATATTTTTCTTTGTTTTCTTAGTTAAAGTTTTATTCCACAGGATCGGATGTAGTGTTTTTATTATGTTTTTTCCTTTTCCTATTTTTCTTGTTATATCTTTGTCGTCTCTCCCGTCTTCGCTTATGTTCAACAACTTGTTTAAATACTTTCCACTCTAAATCTGTAAGTCAGTCATTGTTTATTTTAAACTGATTTTTATAGAACTTTTAATCATATTTTAGTTGTCTCCTGATGAAGCTGACAAAATATCAGCAAAATATAGAGGATTAAAAGAAAAAAGAGTTTTTTTTTTAATAATAACAGACCGCATACCCGATATTCCAACACAATAAATTGTTATGGTACACCCTTAATACAAATCCCAGTAGCCATTTGGTCGATAATCGTCAATTTTCCAATATACTGATAAAAAATTTAATATTGTCGAAAACTGGCAATGAAAACAACGTTCGTTAAAGAGGTTTCAAAGCTTTTTACAAATATGTGAGATCAAAATAGAGATACAACTACGTGATATATCACAGATATAAATATATATTTGGTGGTAAAGACGTAGTATCTCTTATAAAAATAGGAAGACTAAGATGGGTAGGACAGCTGGCAAGATCACAGCAGAACAACCCTCCTAGAAGAATCCTTATGTTACAACCTGTGGGAAGTAGAAGAAGGGGTAGGCCAAAACTCAAATGGAGGAATGGTGTAGTTGAGGATGGTAGAAAAATAGGCGCAGCAAACTGGCAACAGTTGGCAATATATATAACTGACTGGCGTATTAGACTTGGGAAGGTCGAGGCTCTTTTATAAGGCTGTAGCACTAATGATGGAGATGATGTATAACGAAGATATACTAAGAAGTTCCACTTTATTTAGCATTATTTACTTCGTTTAGGAAGATTAAACTACGAATCTCGACTAAAAGAACTCAAGTTGTCTCCATTAACGTATAGACGAGAAAGAGACCCTTCTAGTTATATTTTTTTACAAATTAATTTTTGACAAATATTTTAATTCGTTCATTTATTTTTTAAATAAAATACGCTGTTCATGACGTATATGCATGTTGTTTGTATTAAGCTAATTCTTTTCTTATGATGATATAAAGTATTAAAAACAAAGTAAAATAGATTTAGGGCGCAACGACACTGGTTTGACAAGTGAGAAGATGTATATTATTATATATCTATCGACGCATGTTTTAAAAACTTTCTAATCTTGGAAACCTTTTTGGGATGGTGCTAGAAAGGTCGCCAATGACGACACTGCGGACGACAGCTAGATGGTTGGTGAAGAGCGAGTCGTGGATTCGAAACTAGCTTTTGGAACCGGGAATGGATCCAACGGACGAAATAAGTAAAGTTAGGACAAGATAAGATATATTAGAGAAGATACAGAAATAAATAAAAAAAAGATGGATACAATTACCAAAGATAAGATAAAAAGAGGGCGCCACTTTACTTTTTGGGGATCAAGGGAAAAATTAAGAAACCTTAGAAACGAAAAAGATAAGGAAAGTTATTTAGATTCTGAAACTAAATCCAAGGAAAGATATCAACAGTTAATTATTAAATAAATTTTGTAAACGCACTAGATATACAAATTATAAATAATATATTAGGTGGTTTCCGTCCACCTACTTACCTACGAAACTTAATCAGCCTGATCTTTCTGCTGGTAGAAGGTATAATATTAATTTAATTAAATAAGCAAATATTCAGAGGTATTATTTTATCAGGAAACTTATAACAACAACACAATTAAATAGGCGGGCGAATGTAAATATAAGTTAAATAATGCACCATCAATTAATTAATGGTTGTATACCTATGGAAATAAACAGTATTATGATCAAGAAATACCTTTAGAGATACAATATAATAAAATCATACACAAATTAAATTATCAGCGAAGAGAGCCTGGTAGTATTTAAAAAAAATTAACTAAAGCTGATTAAAGAAATCTCTTTTCGCTGTTTATGGGCTTATCTCGAGATAACGTGTACAGTAAATTTAAAAATGGATAGCAGTAATAACAAATAAAACAAAATTAATTAACTTTAATTTCAAAAGAATGCAAAAAGATTACAAGAACTCTGTAGTATAAAAATGAAATCAACCCGAACTTGGTTGTAAGTTAACTGAATGTTTCACAATGTTTTTAGTTTAATTAACTCTTATTACTGAATATTAAATGTTCATTATTATTATTTCTGAGAAGTTCTTAATACCTGGTTAAAAGTTTGCATAAAAGAATTAAATTTTTATTATATATTTTATATATTTATATTATATATTTTTCCCAGAGTCTTTTTTTCCTCTCAAATTTTAACAAACTTTCAAAAAAAGGTGGGATATCCCCCACATAAAAATGACAACTTGCCTAAAATAAGACCAGGCTGTTTCCATTTCTAACGAATATAGACAGGTTCTAGGTCAGTAAAGGGACTCTTGTAGTTGAAAAACCTGGGACAAAATAAAACCTTTTTTATTATGTTCTTTCAGAAAAATACTATAAAGTGCTTTTACGACTGTTTTTACCAAAGTTTTAATTAGGGACTTGCCTGGAACCCAAAAAGGTCTACCATCAAATATTCGACTTCGGCCTCTTTTAATGCGTATGACCATCCGTACTTTCGTAATAGTCGGTATGTTCCAATAAAATTTGCTAAGCGTAAGAGAGCCCACCAGCATAATTATTTGCGGATATGGCCAACAGGGGTAAAGGGATTAAAAATTATTTACTATTTTAATTATGAAAAAAATAATACAACTCACACAACGGACACTTCCAAAAACCAGTAGCGTCGTGCGCTAGCTATCTTTTATTTTATCTTTGATGCGTTTTTAACAGATGACAACTCTAATTTTCGACCATTTTTTTTCAACAAACTTATATCATCATACTAAGAAAAAAAATAGCTTTAATTGTATATACGCTATGAGCAGCGTAGTTTATTTAAAAAATAAATAAACGAAATTAATTATTTTTTTATATTATATTATTTAGTTTATTACCTACAAATTTTTTGTATTTTGGGCCACATAAACTCTATTTTGGCTAAATATTATTGTATAAAATAGGTAAACAAATAATAATAAGACTTACTCACAATCAATTTAATTTAACAATCAGACGACCGGTTTCGCTTTCTACAATTTGCAAAGCATCTTCAGGTCTAGATACAAAGTTAAACTAATGCTGCACTAAAATAAACCCAATTAGGGTGGTGTCTAATAAAGATAAAATAAAAAAATAAGTTAGTTCATACAAATTATAGTAATTATGCCAATATTACATGTCTGTGGTTTTCAAAATGAATAAATTTGAATATATAAAAGGTATTAACAGACAAGGTAAGACCCACAATTGGTATAAAGTAGTAATATTATATTGTAATAAATTAATAAATGAGCGGATAAATAAAACAAAACAAACATTACTTACATGCCGGTACTCTATTAATTGATGGATGGTAGGTCATTGTTGCAAAAATCATGATCATGATCATGTTAAAGTTTTCCAATCAACAATACATGATTTTTGCAACCATGACCTACCATCCATCAATTAATAGAGTACCGGCATGTAAGTCATGTTTGTTTTGTTTTATTTATCCGCTCATTTATCAATTTATTACAATATAATATTACTACTTTATACCAATTGTGGGTCTTACCTTGTCTGTTAATACCTTTTATATATTCAAATTTATTCATTCATTTTGAAAACCACAGACATGTAATATTGGCATAATTACTATAATTTGTATGAACTAACTTATTTGTTTATTTTATCTTTATTAGACACCACCCTAATTGGGTTTATTTTATTGCAGCATTAGTTTAACTTTGTATCTAGACCTGAAGATGCTTTGCAAATTGTAGAAAGCGAAACCAGTCGTCTGATTGTTAAATTAAATTGATTGTAAGTCTAATTATTATTTCTTTACCTATTTGATATTGACTCACACAAGCAACACATTCATGATTTATTCATGATTTTATTATTGTATACTAAATAATTAAAATTACACAAAAAACTAAGACTAATTTATTCTTTTTCTTACCTTTAAACATATTTTCATCTGTCAACTGAGACGCTATGTAATCAGTTGTACTGTAGGACTCCTTAAATCCAGCTTCTCTTATTAACTTTCTATATTCATCAAAAGCATTTTCTGTCATAAAGAAAGGTGATATCAACTGCTTGTGGTCGTATCTTTTCCATTTCGGATGCACGGAGAGATCTTGATATACTTCGTCGGCCGATGTTTCATCTGCATAGGTTAAAAGTATCTGTCCGTCAGGTTTTAACATCTTATACATATTTTTCAATGCTTGTCTAAAACATAAACACAGCCACCCTTTTATTTAATATTATAAATAGGAATAATCTAAAATACAAAAAAATTCATTTAATATTCTAGATTTGCTATTCAATAAGTAGCAAATCAGACTGTCAAGCCGCTATACCTCAATTTGATTTTGGCAAATACTTTTCTTTGACGTAGCCTACCAAAGGTTTACTGTGTATATGTAGTCCAACCGTTTTTTTGTGTGAGAATAGGAATCTAAAGATCATACCAGGTGCATCGTACCTGGCGTAAGTTGGAATCAGGGTAGATGGAGTAAATCTGAACGCATTTATTTCTTTGGGGGTCTTGCCCTTGGATGCATCGATAATACCATGCCTACCAACTAAAACCACTCTGAGCGTGGCACATCTTTTCAGACCGATCAATCTCGCGTGCAGACTCCCATATTCCTTTTTCCCTTTTTTTATTTATCTATATGTTTATACTTTATCTTTATATTTTATCTTTATTTTTGCTGTCCTTCTCTTCCTAGATTTATTATTTTTTATAATTTTTGTTAATGCAATCAAAACATCCATTAAATCATTTTTCCCCTTTCCATAACCGTCATTAGGTCTTGCGCTCTGAATAAGTCTAGCGTACGCTTGCTTTGCCTATTCTTTCGAGATAGCTCTGAACGATCCATTGTTTGTTAGAAATTGTGTAAAGAAGTCGTTCGTGCTCTTGTAATTGCGACTGATCCATTTCTCCACGTAGCTATGTAGCCCACTGTTCTTTTTTTCACTCTTCTATCACATTTTTATCGTTTACATTCTTTCTTCTTTCTTTTCTTAACGTATGTTCTCGATTTTTCTATTGATTGCAGGATAATTGATAATATTCCTGCTATGACCTATTATGTAGAGCTACAGCCAATGCCATTCGGTATGCGCAGACGACCCTTAACAAAGTTTTTAGTTGTATTTTTTTTAAATAATAATTTATACTTTTGCTTGTTTAGTATTTGGTGTTAAATTGCAGAAGCCTATATAATTGCAAAGGGAACAACTTTTATGAGGACTCCTCTTTTTTCTGCGTTAGATACCGCAGTTCTTTAATCAGCATTATTGGTGACATACTTGATATGTTCAATAAACATTCACTTACAATCAAGCATGATTTCTAAATATTTCATACTTTTTACTGGAAATATTCTTTTTCCTTCCAGCATAAAGGAGATAAGGTCTCTGTCTCATAAAACGTATAATTATGAGTACCTCTGTCTTTTATATAGCTAATTTTAGTTCTCTGTTTTATAATAAAAATTTAACTCTTTCTTATACAGTATTTTTCGTGTTCATGGTCAGCCAATTTTCATTGTGCTCTGCAAGTACAAGGGTCAAATGCATATGTAACGGCTCATATTTCTTAGCCCAGATCTTCTTCTAAAATGTCGTTATATAAAATGATACACAACAGCGGTCCGAGAACCAAACCCTGTGGTATACCTAATGATGTCACCATTATGTTGCTGTTTGCTAAGCTTTTTTGTCTTTTTGTAAAATATTCCTTGACCAAATTTTATAGGTAGGGAGATACTTTTGAGATTCTTTATATATTTATTATTCTTTTTCAACTTGTACAATTAAAGGCTTTTTTAATATATAGAAAGAAGGCGACCAACCACCTACTACTACATTCTTCTTCTTCTTCTTCGTCTAGCCATTCACGTCCACATCTGAACATAAGCCTCTTCAAGTCTTCCTTTCCATTGTTTTTTATTGTACGCTACTTGTAGCCAATTTTTCCCGGCAGTCCTTTTCAGATCATCTGTCCATCTCATAGGAGGTCTGCCTCTGGGTCTTTTGTGTTGGTATGGTCTCCAGGTTAAAATTGATCTGTGCCATTTGTTTAGATCGCTCCTAGCTACATGTCCAGCGTATTCCCATTTCAGCTTTAATGCTTTTTGCACCACATCGGTGACTTTGGTTTTATGTCTTATCCATGTGTTTGTTTTCTTGTCCTTAAGTGATATACCTAGCATTGCTCTTTCCATCGCGTGTTGAGTGACTCTAAGTATATTCATATTCTTTTTTGTGATTGTCCATGGTTGTGCCGCATAAGTTGATATCGGAATAATGCATGCATCAAAAACTTTAGATCTAAGATGTAATTAAATTTGTTGATTTCTGAGTATATAGTTCAGTTTACCGAATGCTGCCCAAGCTAACTTTCTTCTTCTTTTTTTTTTCTTCAGTCTGAATTTCCCTATTTAGTATTATTTTTTGTCCCAAGTATATATATTATTCAACTTTTTCTATAACTTTATCGTTTATTATTGTCACGGTGTCTTCGGAGTGCATGACTTTTGTTTTGTTTAAATTCATTTTCAGTCCTATTTTAGAAGATTCGGTATGAAGTTCTACAAGCATGGTTTGCATTTCTTGTAGGTCAGTAGCTATCAGGATTATGTCATCTGCAAATCGTAGATTACTGAGGTAGCGGCCATTGATGTTTATTCCCTTATATTTCCAATTTAGGTTTTTAAAAACGTCCTCCAAAACTAAGGTGAACAGTTTGGGTGATAAAGTATCTCCCTGTTTGACTCCCCTGTTTAATGGTACAGGGTTCGTGTGTTCATTTTCATTTAGGTAGTATGTAGCTGTAGCTTGGTTCATAGTTTCTTTTATTAAGTTAATATATCTGCTGTCTATTCTACAATTTTGCATTGCGTTTATTACGGCCGTGTGTTCTATGGTATCGAAAGCTTTTTCGTAGTCTACACATGCAAAGAAAACTGAAAACTTGTATTCGTTACATTTTTCTATTAATATTTTTGTGGTTAACAGGTGATCGGAAGTTGAATAGCCTTTTCTAAAACCTGCCTGTTTATATGGTTGGTATTCGTCTAATTTCCTTGTTAGTCGAGTAGTTATGACTTTGGTGAGTATTTTAAACAGGTGTGACAATAGGCTGATGGGTCTGTAGTTTTCCAATTTTCGACTATCACCTTTCTTGTGCAATAAGATTACTTTAGAGTTGTTCCAGCTCTTAGGGACTTTGCCCTGATGTAAACAACTGTCCACAAGCTTAGTTACAATTGCAATTAGTTCCTTACCTCCTTCTAATATCATATCTGTGGTAATACTATCTTCTCCTGCAGCTTTATTTCTCTTCATGTTTTCCAATGCTGTAGTTACCTCTGAAATTGTTACTTTTGGCATTATTTCTGATCCAACATTTTTTATTAATTTCCGTGCTGGTGTCATCTCATCATCTTGTTGATGTGATCTGTAAAGTTCAGTGTAAAATTCTTCTATTCGTGTCAGTATGTTTTCTCTACTTGTGATTTCATTTTCGTCTTTTCTTATTAATGATATCATCTGATGTCGTCCTAGTGTCGGTCTGAGACATTTCATACTCTTATTTTTTTCAATAGTTGTTGTTATTAATTTTTCGTTTTCTTTTCTTTTTTGTTGTCTTATTCCTTTTCTAATCTGCCTATTAAGTTCTCTATATTCGCTGGTTCCCCTTTTGTTAGATTTATTTAAGATCTTCCTTCTTTCTATTTGTTGTAATATTTCTTTGTCTAATTCATTGTATGTTGTTTTCGGTTTTTTTCAGTTGCAGAAGGCTTTTATTCACTGTTTCGGTAATAAGGTTATTCAAATCATCAATATCATTGGAGTTTATCTGCTGCATGCTAACTTGATTTAATGCATGCACTATCTTTTTATTAAATTCACTATTTTTGATTTCTTCAGATGCCCATTTGTATCTTTTTTCATGTATTCTTTTTCTTTGTAGTTTTTTGTTAATTACTAGTTTTGTTCTTATTAGTCTATGATCGCTTCCTAGGTCAAACTGATTTAATACTGATACGTCTTCTACTAGGTTTCTATTCTTCGTTAAGATATAATCTATTTCATTCTTTGTCTTTTTATCGGGACTCATCCATGTCCATTTTCAGCTTAGTTTTTTATTGAAAAAAACGGAGTTCATTGAGTACATGTTATGTTCATTCATGAAATTGAGAAGCATTTCTCCTCTATCGTTTCTTTTCCCGTAGCCATAGTTACCAATTAAATGTTCATAATCTTCCTCTTTTTTGCCCAATTTAGCATTAAAATCTCCTAATAGTATTTCGTAATTTGCTTTATTTGTTTCTATAACTGTTCTTATTTCATCATAAAATATTTCTACTTCTTCATCGTCGTGGCTTTTGGTCGGAGCGTACACTTGGATCACTTTCAGAGTGGTTCTTTTATTAATCCTGATGATGAGATATGCTACTCTGTCTGATATGGGCTTGAATTCTTCGATACACTGTGTGAGGCTTTGTTTTACCAAGAATCCCACTCCAGTGTATTCGCCACTATTATGCATAAAATGTGTGCCATTTTTTAGTATTATATACTCATCACTTTTTCTTCTGGTCTCGCATATACCAAGGATATCCCATTTTATATCCTTTAGTTCACTTTCTATTTCAGGGAATCTATTGTCGTCCGTCAGTGTTCGAATATTGTAGGAGCATAGCCAAATTGTCATCTTGTGGCAGCCGGGTCTTACCCAGGGATTCTTAGCACCCCCCTTCCGTTAGTTGTTTGATCGCTGCCGTGATCAAGACTCTGGGAAGGGCTGGGCACTGGGGGCCTTTTCTTTTTTTGTCTACTACTACATGTAGCTACTATTTTCATTACTTTTCCGTCTGCGTCTATTGGACAACAGTTAATAAACGAGACGAGCAAGCATTTAGATTGACCATTCTTGAGTTAAGAATCAATAGGTTAATATATAGAGGTAAGAAACTTTTCACTAGGTGTGGAAAATATAAAAAATCGGTTTAAAAAAATAGGAAAATAGAACGATTGGATATAGAATGCTAACTGCCAAAATAACAAAAGAATAGCCGAGAAAAAGGTCCACATTTTTTCAGCGAATTAATATAAATAGATTTTAAAATTAACATTAGGATAGCAGAATGTTTGGTATTCTCTCTCTCAAATCTTTTTTTTATGATTTACAATTTTTATGATTTTTATTAATAGCACTTTTTGTTGAACAATACAAACAAAAGTAAGAATACCTTTAACTTACCGCGTATCTTTAACCCAATGCATTACAGCAAACCCGAAAATGTGATCGAACCGGTTCTCAAATTCTGCAGGAATCGTCTCAGACGAAATATCAAAAATAATAAAATTTGCCCTGGGATCATTATTATTTCTTTTTAGGTACTCAACCATTCGGCGACTAACATCAGAACCAATAAACTCCTTGTAATTATCAGGTAGTATGGGAAACAGTACACTTTTTGAGTTGCTGCCATCAGCCATTCCAAACTCAAAAATTGATTCATTTTCTTTCCATTTGATAAGGTTTTTAACGTTGCTTATATTTTTCTTATGGCAGGAGGTTAAAAATTCTGAAGATTGTCCCCACAGTTCTGGTTCAATCATTTTTAATGTTGAATACAGCTAAAACCAAAAAATGATTATTTATAGAATACAAAATATTTAATATATCAAAAAGTACATCAAAATTTTATTTGAATTACTCGAGTCGTCATAGACGAAAATACACTGAAGCTCTAAAAATTATACGAACAAGCTAGATTTTTGTTAAGAATGTCAATTTTGGTACCCCAAACAGATGCAAGAAAGTGTACTACTGTTACCCCCGACTTCCATCTAAAACGCTTCAAAAAAAAATGTCCCATAAACTCCACGATGGAAATTCGATATATTTAGTGTCCCATCGACAAAAATCAAAATGCGTTTTAAAGGTGAAGGATGCAGCTTTCGTACACAATTTTTGTGTTTTGCCGAAAATAGCTCAGTTTTTATAAAGGTATTAAATTAATAAACATTGCGAGATTTTTGCCATTCTTTATGATACTCATCATATCAGATGCAATGTTTTTTAGACATATTTTAAATGCCTCATGTATTGACTCCAAAACTTAAAATGGAAATTTTATGTCATATGTTTTGAAGATTAGGCGTTAGCACTAAAAATTCCAGTACGATCGATTAATAAAAGTAATTAATTTTATTGATCTTGTGAAAATCGTAAAAAAAATTCTTTATAAAAACCGATTTTATTTGCGGCAAAATACAAAAATTTCGTACGAAAGCTGCACTTTTCACCTTTAAAATGTATTTTCTATTGTGTCAAAAGGACACTCTAATCAAAAGATATTAAATTTTTACTGTCGAGTTGATACAAATTTTATTTAAATTTGTTTTCACGCTCGTAATAACATTCAAAATCACCAGTAGCTTCAAGCATTGTTTGTTAGAGAACAGTTTGTTCTACACAAAAAGTGCTAATAAACATTTTTGTTTAAAATTATCACAGCTACATTTTTTATTTAAAACATTTTAACTACGACGATTATACAAAAAATCTTTTAACGCGATTTTGATTGATCAAATTGATCAAGAACCCATATGTAATTAACCGTGGTAATTATTTGTGAGGTTCCTGTGTGTCGATTGACTATCGATTCTTTGAATGACCATGGATTACGAATTAATTCCAAGCCCCTTCCGGACTTTAATTCGACAATCACGTTTGATAGCGAAGTGCTTACTTCGGACCGATACCTACTGTAAAATAATTCTCTTCGGACCTTTACTTATTTCGAACGAATGATTTTCACCAATTCTAAAAATAATTCCAAGTCCGCTCAGGCTTTTCTTTATTTCCAACTGTCAATGATTTATCAGAACAATGTGCCAGTTCGACAAGGTCTGAAATAGTAAGTCGAATCGACTTTTATCTATTTCAATCCGATATCTGTCCGAAGAGTGAAGTGTTCTCCTCAAGATGTTTGATAGTCTTTGTGAAATATTTTCGTTTTTAGACTTTTCTTTATCTCGAACAAAGGATATTCAAACAGCCAAATACCAAATTCCTATACTACTGATTGTGGTGATATTCTTAAGCAGTGATACTTTGTATTTATCCCTACAATTAAAAAAGAAATGTTGGATACATTTTTGTAAAAAATGTATCCAAGTGTTGCTACGCCACTGGTAGCAATTAACTTACACGTCTTAAAATCTACCGAGGTAAATTCTTCAGCAAATTCTCATGGTATCAGTGCTCGTGTAGTGTGTCGCGGACTAGTATAAGGTGGGCAGTGATCTGCGGTTTCAATAAAATAACTTGCGCTAAAAATTTGGTTAGATATTAATTTAGTTGTAGTAACATTTAATCAATAAATTACGTATTGTTTAAACTGCTTGTATTCTTATTTCCCACGCCAGTGGGTGGTCCTTTGATTTGGAAGTAATTACATGACTTAGTACGCTCTAAATAGTAGGAAGATCGCCATCCTAATTTGTTGAACAAATGTCTGTTTAATTTTACCAGATGTGGAAATGTTCTTTATGACGAAGTCTCGTAGTTAGACCCCTTAGAATTACGTTCAAATGTAACAATTCATTGGAGCAATGTGTATTAACTCGAGTAAAACAGGAGTTACTCCACTCCATCTCCAATGCTCCAGTCTATTCCTTTCCCCCCTGTAGCACTCTTATGTGAGATAGGGGCACAACTATCAGCCAAATGCTCTTCATTTTATGAATTCGCTTTATTTCTGCAATTCTCTAGCCTAATCTCCAATCGGAAGGTATGCTGATTTTATGCAGTTCCTAGTTGCACGTGCTCAACAATCTTCCTTCGTAGATCCAATGCAATCGTAGATAATAAACCTCATTGTAATTGGCCGGACAGAGTGACAATCTTCACTGTGATTGGTCAACTCTGGCGACAACATAATTAATTATTATAAATTACTGTAAATTGATAAAAAACACATATTAAAAAGATACTTAAAACTAAATAATAGAAAAATGTTTGACCATCTTTTTGCATGAAATAAAAAAATGTATAAACATATAATTAAAACCAAAAAAATAAACAAAAAGCACTTAAAAATTTATGAACTTCCCTAATTTTTCTGTTCTTTTATTTATATTTTTAGTGTTCATGTTAATTAACTTTTTAATTGTTATGTTATATACCCAACACAACTAAACAATATAACAACTAAAATTGCCCATGCACAACTTAACTGTTTTAATGGGTTCTATAAATTGTTTGCGTAGAGAATATGGCATAACTACATATTTAAACGTTATATTTTAATGATGCTCAGAATATCGATTTATCGAATTTACCTAATGAGCCACACTCTAAAAATTTTTCTAAGAATAATTCACAACAGAATTAGACGCAAATGCGAGGTACTTTTTACTCTAATATAGAGTTCCAAATTTACTTTCTGATATTGAATCAATAATCAGACCACTTAATGATAGTGAAAAGGATGTTGTTAGATCTAAATGTACAAACGTTATTGCAAACTTTTTACATGAGGAAGTTAAATATCATTTTTTCAATAATTACTATGTACAAACTAAACTTTTTCTTAAAAACCATCCTGAAATTTAAATTGTCAAAGCGATAAAGGTAACCTAATTATTGCAACGTATGAAGAGGATTACCTACAAAAAACTGGAGAACTCTTAAATGATACTAAGTATTACACTACACTTAGGAGAAGTCCTGTTTGTACTTTGCAACAACAAGCAAATTGTCTAGTATCTAAATTAAGAAAGAAATTTATTGATAATAAAAAAGGATGAGAGCTCAAAATTTATAATTTTATTGCTCCATGGTTTTATGCTCTACCTAAAATACATAAACCAACTTTATCTATGAGACCAATTGTTTCATCTTTATGTCCTCCTAATGGACCAATAGCACAGCTCCTCACTGACATATTAACTAATGCTTATAATTGAAACAACAATATTTACATTAAAGATTCATTTGATTTTAGTTCTTTCATTAATAATTTCCAATTGCCACTAACTTATGGTTTAGTTAATTTTGATGTAACATCCCTTTTTACCAATTTACCTTTCGCAACATACTAATATTGACTTATTACATTTCAAAACACTCATTAACTTTATTATTGATTCTAATATTTTTATATTTAATGGTGTCTTTTATAAACAAATTTTTGGTAGTGTTTTGGGATCTAGTCTTTCACCCATTCTAAGTAACTATGTTATGGATGACGTTATCAGTGATTGTATCAACAATTGCACTTTTTTCATTCCTTTTATTAAAAGATATGTAAACGATTTAGTTTTCGCACTTCCTAAACACAAAATTTACAGTTGAAGAAGAGGTAGATAATTCTATACCATTCCTTGACATGAGAATTGTAAGAAATACAGAAAATATGTTGAAAACCAGATAGTTCAGAAAACCCATATGTAGTAATAGATTTATAAGCTATTACTCTCATCATCCAAATAAGATGAAAATGAACCTTATAACAGGATTAAAGAACGTGTTTTAAAGCTTTCTTATTCAGATTACCTACAAGAAGATCTTCAATTGTTAAAAAATATTTTAATTGAAAACTCTTATCCTCCAGATATGCTACATAGGATGCTTTTCTCTAATATCGTTAATATAAATAACTTAACACCACTTTTTGCTAAATCTCAAAGCATTATATCCAACAATCAGAACATCTATTATCATTCACTACCTTTTATACCATCATGAACACCTAAATTAATACAAACACTAAAGGTTATTGACACTATAAAAATAGCCACAAAGAACATCAAAACCACTTCATCTTTATATTTTAAAACTAAGTATTCTATAGACAAATTAGAGAAAACAAATGTAGTATACAGCATTAGTTGTACTCAGTGTGAATCTGAGTATGTTGGTGAGTCCGAAAGAAATCTTTCAAATCGCATTATTTCTCACAAAAGTGATACCATCTTGTGTTTTAGCAGAGCATGTAGTCGGCAAAGACCATATTATGGATTTTGATTACATTAAAATTTTGTGTAGTGAAATAAATATATTTAAACGGACTTTTTTGGAAATGGTTTTAATTAGCAAAAGTGTTAATAATTTAAACAAAAGATCAGAAAGTCAAAATCTAAGCAAAATTTATAATTATATTATTTCTTTGTAGTTTATTTATAAAACCAGTAAAATATCACATTTTGATTTAATTTTCCATATATTTGTTGCATTTTTTCAGGCATCTATCAATGATGAATAAATCTTTTTCTTATTTGTTATTAAATTAAAAAGAATGTTTAAACAAAATTTTATTTTTGGCAATATAATTGTCAAAAATAAAAATTTTAAGTTGGCATTTATGACATTGAGGCTTATTTGTAATTGGTCGCTATTCTAACTTATTTACAAATTTAATTGTTTTTACAACCCCCTCTGTGGCTCAGTGGTAAGACCGCAGACGTTCCGATACAATTAGCGTCTCTTAGCAAAGACAATGACGCCGACTTTGCTAAGTATCAAGACAATTACTCTACACATACACACACACTACATTAGGTACCTGACTGTACCATGCCAATGATCATAGTTGTCGAGGCATTAACTC